GGGAGGGAGGGAAAAGCTGAGGGAGAGTGACCATATCTGAGAGAGCTGTTTGGTGGCCATAGCCATAGCCGCACTTTCTGGTACTTAGTCAATCTTGTATACTTGAGCTGATTGGTCCATCTCATGTGTGCATTGTCTATGCGAGTGTCACGGTGTGAGCTTGGTGAGGAGTGCTGTGCGTGGATGCATGGTCTCCGAAGCAAGTGGCCCATCCTTCCAGTATAAGGAAGGAAGCAATCAATTCTGCTGTCTCAGGGTTCCTTGGCCAAAACGAGGGGATGCGTTTGAGTGTGTATTTGTTGTTCTAGGAAAGCTGAACCCAGTGTCCATTCTTAATAGTACAGTGTACGAACAAGACATTACATAGCTAGTCAGGGCTGGTTTAGCACCCTGGCTTGCTGCATAACGTTTTGTTAGCACACGGAGTGGCTGGTGGCAGTTGTCTGTCTAGCAAAGAGCCGTAAGGTGCTAATCCGTAACACTGTCAACATCTTTTGCTTGTGGTTTCTATTTTTTTGGACCATTTCTTGATTTATGTGTGTCATCGCTGCGCAGGGGCCATGCTAATCTTCTCTGTGCTGTTTCAATTTTAACGGATGTCCCGCAGGACTTTGTGTGGTGCTATTGATTGGATCACACCACAGAATTTTAAGAAAGTACATTGCAATATGTCTTATGACGGGGTAACCCCGTTCCAAATTAGCTGACGACAACCGGAATTTTTACGTGATGGACAGATCTAATGGACAAGTGAATTGCAGCAGCAAAGTGGCAGAAGCACAAAAGAGAGAACGGTTCAAGTGGGGGATAAGCCGAAGGCAGGAGTCAAGGGATTGTTGTGGTTGGAAGTTTAGAGAGAGGTCAAGAGGAAGAGGAAGGTGGTGGTGGCGATGATGGTGATGATGACACTCGTGCGGAAGTTATGTAAGGGTAAAAGAACTCGGTGCTATAGATATGGGCTGAGAATGACTGCAGTGGGAATGGAGTGAGTCATTGGGTGTTGTTTTGGGGGTACTTGAAAGAGGCTTGGGAGCCCGATAGGAGCATGAGACCAGCAGCAGCAGCAGCAGCACCCAGAGGAGTATGAGAGAGCAGACAAGGGAGGGACGAGCCAAACAGGGGGTGTAGTGAAGAAACAGCCATCCATTGTAAGTAGAGAATCAAGTGTTTCTTCTTGATGTGCTACCTCGAGGAGTGTGACACCAGCACCAGCACCAGCACCAGCACCAGCACCAGCACCAGCACCAGCACCAGCAGCAGCACCGGGAGGAGGAAGAGGACGAGGAGGAGAGAGCGAACAAGGGAAAGCTCAGCCAAACAAGGGGTGTAGTGAAGAAAATTCAATCCATTGTGAGTGCAGAATCAAGTGTTTCTTCTTGATGTGGTTCCTCGGCGGGAGATATCTGAGAGCGACCAGCAGGTGAGAAAAGTGTATTCAACCTACCCAGCATGCAGAGTCTTCGCATGTTCACTTAAGCGAGGGGCAAACAGGAGGGAAGAGTGATATCCCACCACAACTATCGCTCCCTCACGTGTCTTACGTGTGCGTCAATGTGGAGCCTCTGGGAGAAACTTGTGAAGAACATGGCACACTTCCCATTCCAATGCAAGGAGCAAGTCCGTCTTCATCCTGCCAACCACTCGCTAGACACTCCTAAGGAGTCGAGGCCTCAAACCGAGCACTCAAACAAGAATGCCGACAATGGCTTGCTGCACCCTGTCGTCTGCCCGATGGGATTGGCTGGCCTTGCAGAGAGGGCATTGGATGCAGTGGTTGGTGACCGTGCCACGATGAAAAAAACAACGGCAGATCGGCCTGTGCTTCTCGTCGGTAACTACTGCCATGACACACTTCATTTGCCATCGGGGAACAGACACGAGACCCTTGGTGGCTCGGTTTCTTTCGTAACCAGAGTGTTTGACTCCGTTGGTGTTGAATGTAGAGTTATGGCAAAAGTTGGCGACGACTTTTGCTACTCAGCAGATGTGCATCGCCACCCTCCACGGGTGGTTGGCGGCGTTAGGACCACCAAGTTTGTAGCAGATCTCACTGGCGGGGAACGGTCGATAAGGTTGGAGGCATGCTGCGAGGTTATCCGGCCAGAAGACATCCCGGTTCGGTGTGACAATGGCACCGACTTTGGCTTGGGCATGGCCATTGGTGTAGCTGGGGAGATCACTCCAGAGACGCTTGAGGCCATCATGGATCGCACCCCGTTTGTCGTATGCGATTTGCAGGCCCTGATTCGGGAAGTCGACCCGTCGAGCGGTGAAGTGTCACTCTGCCATCTGGAACAGACACCATTTGCCCGTCTTCTTCATCGCATATCATTTTTGAAAGCAACAAAAGTAGAATCGTGCTATATGAAAGTCGACTCTGTGAGGAAGACGACTTGCGTGGTTGTGACGGATGGAAAACGTGGATGCAACGTGTTTTATCAGAACCACGCCTTCCATGTCCCCGCTTTTCCTGCTCAGGAAGTGGACCCGACTGGGGCGGGGGACTGTTTTCTCGCAGGGTTTGTTGCGGGACTTTGTCGCGGACTGTCTCTCGAGAAAGCCGCACTCATGGGGAACTACTTTGGGGGAATCGCAGTAGCACAGGTTGGGGTCCCTGTAATTACAGAACAGCACGTGCGGGAGTGGGAGGAGCTGGTGAAGAGAGTTTCCTCTCAGAGAGATTGCCCTCAAATCCAGATGGCTGTAGATAACTTGGTGCGAGTTCAAACCGGAGTTTAGTAGTGACTGGAAAGTGAGTGGAACCCCCTATAGACCACCTATAGACAGGGTCATGGACCGGTTAAATGCAACCCCCTATAGACAGGGTCATGGGCCATGTAAGAGGCCTAGCAAAAAGCAGGCATGAGTCCACACTCAGAGGTGTATTGTGTTCCCCAATGGTCGGTCGCAGGAGTGTAGTAATGCGAGGAAACGTGACTGCAGCCCCTATAGACAGGGTCATGGAGCGGCTAGAGGCAACCTGCTATAGAGACGGTCATCCAACGGTTAGAGCCTACTCCCTGGCGAAAACAGGAACGATGCCCACAGCACGAAGTGGCAGCCGCGCGACGTCTGAGATGTAGTGTGTTCGACAATGCTTGGTCACTTCTGCCAGCCTTTCTCTGATGTCCAATTCAATATGGTAGAATTTATTCACAGTATAGTAGTATACGTAGTCATTTACGTGTGCTGGCAGACATGCCCCGGAAGAACAGTGTCGATCTCGGCGTTGGAGTTGCCGAAAGTCGGCAGAGGTACACAATGCAATGGCTTGGCTAGCAGGGTGTTCTCCGGTGCATTGCTGAATTGGATAAGCTAAGCCAAATCCGGATGTGGATGCGCGCGTGGGGGCCGCTACTTTCGATGTAGCGGCCTGAGCTGACTCATCTTCAGTGTTCACGGCAGTATCTTATTGCTTAACTGATCTTCAGCGTTCACGGCGATGTATCGGCCTGCGTCATCTTCAGCGTTCACGGCAGAACAGGAAGGCGAAGAGTTATCCCATCAATGCTGCATGCCTCATCTTCAGCGTTCACTGCAGTATTTACGCGTGTGGAGGCTGTACTTTCGACATATCGGCCTTCCTGTGGCCAGTCGGATACGTAATGGATGGCGCAATTTCCCTCAGGTGAGAAGTGGGTGTGCGTTACGCGTGGTCTAAGTGGGAAGTTCCCAGTCATGTGGATCTCTAGGACCAGATCAGACGGCTAGATCTTACCAGGTTCACACAAGAAGGTCTCACATCAAAACTTTAAGATATTCAGCATTTCCAGGACCAATTCCAGGACCAATTCCAGGACCATTTCCAGGACCAATTCCAGGACCAATTCCAGGACCAATTCCAGGACCAATTGCAGGAGCATTCCCAGGCCAGGTCCATTTGTGTGATCTGCTGATGCCTGGTCTGGATCAGACCATATGGAGTTTAAAGATGTTCTGATCATATTCATCAATTCCTTGGCGATTTCCGGGCCAGCTTCGCCAGGTCGAAAGCTGTCCTTTGGGAGGACGGGTGGCAATGCGAGAAATGGCCGGACGTTTAGTTGTACGAGTAGGGAACTGAGAAGTCAAGGAGTAGGGAACGGAGAAGAGGAGGAGTAGGGAATGGAGAAGTCGTTCACGAAAGTGCAGGTTCTGTTGTGGGAGTTGGCAGTGGACCTGATAGCCTGAAGAAGAAGAAGAAGAAGAAGAAGAAGAAGAAGAAAAGGAAAGCGGCTTCTGTACATTCAAACTAGAGCAGTTGGCTAGCACCCCTGCATTACCTCGACAACCTTTCTGAAGTTCGGATATCGAGCAACTGATGTATTCAACAGACCGAGCTCTCTCTCATATTTGGACATTCCTGGATGTCTGTCGCCACATCTACGGCCATATTTGATCTGAACAGTACTTGATTGATTGACTGTCAAAATGCACACGTGGATAGACATTTTAAAATATTAAAGAGATGAATTGTCATCTTATATAAATTGATTGGATTACTTCTTCATCATTTCTTTTTTTATTTTTCTTTTTTCATCTTTAAAGTTTATACGCATAGAGTGGTGCAGGTCTGTTTGTGATGTCCTCCCCGCGATTCGTACTTTCCTCCCCGCGATTCGTACTTTCCTTCACAATTGTGATGTCCTCCCCGCGATTCGTACTCTCCTTACAGACAGACTGCCACTGACATGCAGCTATTGCCAACCACAGTCCTCAATGCGGGAGCGAAGGAAAGTACGAATCGCGGGGAGGACATCACAATTGGGAAGGTCGTTGCCAAGACGGGGGACTGTAAGGAGACGAGAAGAATCAGGATATTTGTAGGGAGAGGGAGGAAATTTGTAGGGGAGAGGGAGGGTACTGGTGGAGATGCAGACAGGTCTGTTTGCTTCGTGTTGTTGTTTCTTGTGTTACAAAATGGATGGGGAGAAGGATGTCGAAGAGAAGTTGATTGACGACGGCTCAGGATGATGCCGAGACCAAGGGTGATGATGGGTCTGAGAGTGATGATGAGAGTGAAGGCAGTGGTTATGAAGCTCTTCACCAATGAATATGATATTGTCAGAATGCAAGCAAAGGAATCAGTCCAAGGCTGAAAGATGCAGCTTGATAAGAAGAGTGAGAGTAGTTGTATCGGCTTTGATGTAGGGGAGAGGGAGGGTACTCGTGGAGATGCAGACAGGTCTGTTTGCTTCGTGTTGTTGTTTCTTGTGTTACAAAATGGATGGGGAGAAGGATGTCGAAGAGAAGTTGATTGACGACGGCTCAGGATGATGCCGAGACCAAGGGTGATGATGGGTCTGAGAGTGATGATGAGAGTGAAGGCAGTGGTTATGAAGCTCTTCACCAATGAATATGATATTGTCAGAATGCAAGCAAAGGAATCAGTCCAAAGCTGAAAGATGCAGCTTGATAAGAAGAGTGAGAGTAGTTGTATCGGCTTTGATGATAAGCAGTTAGACTGACTGTGTGTTCTGTGCATTATGGGAGGAAGGTGTAGGGTGAGTGAGAGTAGGTGTGTCTGCTTTGGTGGTAAGCACTGTGTGCTCTGTGGAGGGAGGTGTACTGTGAGTGAGAGTAGGTGTGTCTGCTTTGATCATAAGCAATTAAGAATGACTGTGTGCTCTGTGCATTATGGGAGGGAGGTGTAGGGTGAGTGAGAGTAGGTGTGTTTGCTTTGGCTGTAAGCACTGTGTGCTCTGTTGAGGGAGGTGTAGGGTGAGTGAGAGTAGGTGTGTCTCATTTGATCATATTAAGCAGTGACTGTGTGCTCTGTGCATTATGGGAGGGAGGTGTAGATTTGTTTCGGAGTAGAGTGAGTGAGATTCAGTGTGTTTATTGGGATCGTCGACTGCAGATGGACAAGAAATGCAATATAACTTTGTGTGTCCTTCTTCTCCAGGCAGTGATGGATGGGAGGAACTGCTGTCTGCTAGGCTGTAAGCACACTAGGACTTTTTGGCCTGAATCTGGGTGCAATTGCTGTCAGGCAGTGTCACAACTGGTTAACAGATACCCTCACTTTTCAAAATGACCCTTTGGTTTTCTTATAAATGAGGGTGAAAATTGGGGGGTCGGTTAACCTTTTCTCTGATGAAGAGGAGACGTCACGATCGCTCCTGTTGTTCGGGCTAAGCTCATGGGTTGCAACCAGGTGTTTTGCTCTGTCTTTTGTTGTGGACACTTTTGGGTGGATGTTTTGACAGCTCTGTGCATTTGCAGACATTGCAGGGAATACAGCTGTTGAGTGTCTCAAAGACAGCTTTCAAACTCAGCTGTCTCGTTGAGCACCAGTTTGCTCTTTGCCCTCCTACTCTTCCTCCTGTTACTTCCTCCTCCTCCTCCTCCTCTTCTTTCTCCTCCTCCTCCTCCTCCTCCTCCTCCTCCTCCTCCTCCTCTTCTTCTTCCTCTCCTCCTCGTCCTTTTCTTCCTCTCCTCCTCCTTTCCCTCCTCTTCT